GAAGTGTAAAAATCTAAAATTGGAACTTGAACTTCCTTTGGAAAAACGAGGAAGCTCTATGCAATGGGAGAAAATGTCGGAGAAAAAACAGTCTTGCTCACTGCTTCACAGACAAATGAAGTCAACATAGAATCATAGAATCATAGAATCATTGAGGTTGGAAAAGACCTCTAAGATCATCGAGTCCAACCGTCAACCCAACACCACCATGCCCACTAAACCATGTCCCTAAGCGCCTCATCTACACGTCTTTTAAATACCTCCAGGGATGGGGACTCCACCACTTCCCTGGGCAGCCTGTTCCAATGTTTCACCACTCTTTCAGTAAAGAAATTTTTCCTTCCATCCAATCTAAACCTCCCCTGCCGCAACTTGAGGCCATTTCCTCTCGTCCTATCGCTTGTTACTTCGGAGAAAAGACCAACACCCACCTCGCTACAACCTCCTTTCAGGTAGTTGTAGAGAGCGATGAGGTCTCCCCTCAGCCTCCTTTTCTCCAGGCTAAACAGTCCCAGTTCCCTCAGCCGCTCCTCATAAGACTTGTTCTCCAGACCCCTCACCAGCCTCATTGCCCTTCTCTGGACACGCTCCAGCACCTCAACGTCCTTCTTGTAGTGAGGGGCCCAAAACTGAACACAGTATTCGAGGTGCGGCCATGTGTCTGATGAGAAATGTATTATCAGAGCTAAGGGGGGAGGGTGGGCCAAATGGCATCAGTGTGAGAATCGTAGTATCTAATTGCTGAGGAATGCAACAAGTTTGGGGAGGGTCCATTCTTCTTTTTCCAAGGTGCATTTTTCTTTCAAGGCTTGAGTGTGTGACACTAATGCCAGATGGCACTTAGAATACACCTTTTTAAGAACTTCAAAATATTGTTTCTCATTAGAGAGCATAGTAGCGTGTGTTTTGTTTTGAAATTTTTGTGCTATTCTATCAAAAATACAATGAAACTTTCTGCTGCTTATTTAGCACTTTGATACAGAAGTGAAACGAATCAAAGGAGATTTTGGGTTTATTAAAAATCTAAGACTCAGAATCCTGAAATCTGTGCAGCTAGCAGTTTTAGGTGAGCTTTACTGTAAGAATGCAGCAAAGATTTGCTTGCACGTTATACACTTATATTTTCCCAGTATATTTCATTTATTTATGTTCATTTTTCCTTATCTGACTAGATGCCCTCTGCTGAAAACTATAATGCGTTCTTTTCCAGATGTTTTCAGCCTATTGTCCTGTTCACTGGTTTCACATTTGAAAAAAAAGTATTTCATAAACTTCCAGCGCTTTGCATTCTTTACAATTTCTAACTGAAGTCTGTAGAGCTACTGATTGATGGTGTTCTAGAATGAATATTTGGGTCTAATCAGATGTTTAATAAAGCTGATTCTAAAGTATTGCTTTTGGAACCGGATTTTAATAATGGATTTATGATTTCTACTTTCTTAGATACCGTCTGAAGTACTGCGTGTAGTTGGATGCCATGTTGGCAAGCAGAGGCTGTTGCATACTATCCAAAGGCTTTCATAATTAAAGGCACAAGACTGTCACATTCCAGCCTATGTGCTTCTCGGTTTTCCTTCCTCTTTGTTGCTACACAACAAAGCTAAACTGCTCTGAAAAAAAGACAATACCATTTCAAAGCCTCTTTCATAAAGTGCCTGCTAATCCTAGGTCAACCCCCTGGACTAGCTAAGTTGGTTAGGGAATTTTTATTTGTACAAACAAATGTTATGTTGATTAAATTTGTGATTGCTAGTTACAGTGATCATTTTTACAATCTGTTGAGTCTACTCTAGTGGCAATAAATTTACTGTTGCAGGGTCTGTCTTTTGCTGCATTCTTGGGTAGCAGGTGTTCATCCTCAAGTAATTACATATTTGGAGATTTTGCTGTGGATATTTGTGTGCCTAAGTGCTCAAGCTTGAATTTTTGTGCAAGTGTTGCCTATATATCATAGACCCATAGTTCACAACCTATTCTCTCTTTCTCAAGAGTCCAACACATATGAAGTGAATAGCTGAATGGAAACCAAAGTGTGAAGTGCTTCAGTTACTGTTTCTGTGTGACGCCAAAGAATTGCAAGGCACATTTGTGCTTTACAGGTTCTGCTTGACAACAAAATTACAAATACCAAGTGTATGCGCACCTATAGCGGGAAGCTTTATGAACAAAACATCTTAAAAGAAATTCTGTCTCTTTTATGTGTATCAATTTATAAGTCTGTCCTTGGATTTCCTGTGCATACAATGTGTTTTTTAAAAAGTATTAGCTTTGTGCTTGACTCTTTTGTAGTATTTATCTTACATATAACACTAGTAGCCCTTGCTGACAGCAAAATATCTTTCTTATTTCTAAATTGGTATTCTAAACCAACAGTCATTTATTATATGCTTCTTTTGGTGCCCTGTAAAGTATGCACGTCGCCTAACTGGAAGAGCAGAAGAAACTTTTTATCAGATGTTTCAAAATTTCCAGTCATATTGCTTTAGATATTGGGATAAAACATTAGTGTTAAGCATTTGCATTTTCAGAGACTTTTTTTTTCCCCATTTATTGTTATTTCTGTACAACCTCATATACATACATTTCTGTAAGGTATTTTGTTATTATTTGAAGAAAAAGTACAGCAGCAAAAATAGTATTTGCAATTGATAAAACTGAAAATGCTGTTATTTGTTTTTCAGAGATATAATAAAGCGAATAGATCAGTCAGAATTTGAAGGATTCGAATATATTAATCCATTGTTGCTGTCAACAGAAGAAACGGTATGAAGGAATGACATCTTCGTTGTGGACAATGTGAATGACCTTTAAATTTATCCTTAACTACAGTATATGCATGCGAGGCTGGGGAACTGTTAAGATTTTGGATGGAGACCAATGATTTAAAAAAAAAAAATTGCTGCTGAAAATCAAAGAAGAGAATAATGATTTTGGTGGGTGTCTTCTGCCACTTAGTGATTCTTAAGTTCTGGGCACTGACACAACTGGCTTCATTAATGAAGGAATTTGCATTTTGTGCCTGTTTCATGAAGGATTGAAACGTTCATTGCATCCCTGGAAAAGGAGATTCTGAACAACTTTGAGATCTACATACTTTCTACAAACATTTGATGCAATGAGCTACCAATTGAAGAATATTACAGTGTAACATCCTGAAGAATAAAATATATTACGGTGGTGTTGAAGCTTATTTTTGATGCCTTTTTTCACAAGTGGTACCTGTCTAAACGTCTCAGATATATTTAAAAGGAGTTGTGTTTTATTAGCAATCAAAACATAAATTTGGGTACAAGATTTAAGTGCCTAAATGGATAAACTGCATTGAAGAATTATTACATATTTGGAACGTTCTTAAACCTGGTAAGTTCTGGTTGTTAATATTAAGTAACCATTTACATATGAAACATACAGTTCACAGCTGCAGCCTAATGTACATTTGCATCTTTATAGAATTTGAAATGCAGAGTGACTCAGCAATATTAATTCTAAATTAGAATTTACAGTATCAATTTCAAAAGCTGTTGTTTTAAACTCCAAATTTACCAAAATGTTTAGATTGAAGAAAACTAAATTTGCACACAAAGGATTTCTGAAAATACTTAAGCAGTGCCTACACCTACAATGAAGTTGTGTTGTATATTAGATTTTTGAAAAGTATTTTTATCAACAATACAAATATTCAGAAATAGAGCAAAAGCGTAATAAAGCATAGCCTTAAAGTTTAAATAGTAAATCTAGAATAACCATAATATAAAATACACTTTCCTGATAAAGCACACCTCCTACTTATGATAAACTGTCTGCTTACAATTACTCAGTGTGTATTAATAACTAATCATTCTACATAAGAGAATGGGATGTTTTGGTAAAATGATTTGCATCAAAGTAGTAAATTTTTTTAATGGAAGAAAAATGAATACCTAAGAAATTGGATAAAGCAAAAGATAACTATCAAATCCCTTCTCGTGGAAACTCTCCCCTTGGGAGGGGAGGGGGGGGGGGGGGCAGGGAAAGGATATATTACATCAAAAAGGTTAACAATTTATCAGCTTGGAAAGGCTCATGTCGCTACATTTGAGGATTAGTAAGTGTGCATTGCTATCTGAAACTTCAGATGCTTGTGAAGATTTACCTGCCTCTATAAGTAACAACAGCAGAGGCAGTGTTTCTTTTTGCTAAATTTTGGTTTAACTATATCGTGTGGGTTGTAGAGGTAGGAAAAAAATTACGTGGGAAGGAAAAAATGAGAAACCCTGTGCCATGACATCTCACCTAATTTGGTGTAAAATGCAGGATAAATTGCAACGCTTTCACTTTCTTTAACATACGGTTTTCTCAGGGTACAGCATTGCATTAGGTGCTGAACATGACATCTTTCGGATTCACATCCAAGTCATGAGGTGCTAGGACGAGACTGCCAAAACATTGTTTAAAATTTTCAATTAATCATTGGTTAACAATCTACATTTTGTATCCCCTCATTAGCCACAATTATGCAGATCTGTGGTTATTTAGGTATATTAATCCCATTCAGATTTAAGTTGTGGGTTTCTCTCTGTTGGACTGTAGCTTTTCATATTAAGCAAGATGTGTTTTAATCAGCACTAAATAATTTAACCAGTAAGAAGTACTTGCCTCAAATGCCTCCTGGACTTTATATACTTTATTATCCACTAAAGGAAACATTTACCTTTTAAACGTAATCTGACATTTTTTAATTATTCGTTTTTTCCCTTCTCCCTGGCAATTACTTTATTTACCCTGAATAATTTTTTTCAGTGTGTTCAACTCCCCTGGTAATAAAGCTAATCAATAGTTATCAGAGTGACTGCAGGCAGCTCATGAATGGAAATATGACAGATTAAGCTGTCCTTTGACATGCCAGGGCATAGGACTTTAAAATGGAAATATTAGAAATGTGGGTTGGGGGGTTTTTTTTAACCTTTTTTCTAGGTTTCAGAACATTTTGGGAGGGAGGGAAGGAAGAACAGAAAGACACATTTGCTAAACAAACATTGTAAAGACTACTTGATTTTATTTGAAAATTTACAGGCATTTACAATGTTGCTGTGTTGCCAAATAGTTTGCTGGATACAAGTTTGGTTGCTCATGTGCAAGTGTTTGAATAATGTTCTGTTCATGATGAAGGGGAAATTTTTTATATAAAGTACTTGTTTTATAAATAAAAGAAAATGAAGGATGTAATTAAATGTGTGGTTTGGAAAAAAAATCCTAATATATTACAAATGGATCTGGTAATGATATATAGTTGTCTTATTTGAAATAGTAAACGAAAATTCTAGCTAATTTAATGATTGTAAAACAGTAAATATGTTCTTGTAGTTTTGTATAATTAATTAGTTGGGATCTTTGCTGACCAGTTTTAATTGTGCAGAAGATGGTATACTAATCCATAACAGCTAAGATCATTTATATTCTTGCACATCTATTAAAGACTTTAATGAAAAAGTTAATAGACTGTTATTATTTATCAGTAAACTGAGCTATGTCCAACTTGCACTTTTTAAAGAGACCCCATTGTAAATTAAACCTATAGGATTCTTCCTGTATTTTGATACTGTGTTCTATGTTTATTCTGTATCTTTGGGTCGCACCTGAACTGTACACTTTTGAGGTCCAGGGCAGAGGTTTGCTGAGATAGAAAACCATTCAGATACTGAAGTTTGTTAATCTAGTTGCACTCCTCTGTATGTGAAGGCAGCTGTGATCAAAATAGCTGAAAGGGGCACAACTGTATTACTCTTGCATATAGCCCTTTGACAAGAAACTAATTTGAACTGTAAGGCCGTGACTGGAGACACGGTATACTGCATGAACAGGATACCCTGTTCAGGAAACAATTAACTGTACTTGGGGGAAATGAACGACCTATTCTAGTTTATTTCATCCCTTCCATTTGTTGTTACTAAACTATCACTAAATGTCATTTATTGTCATTCATGGAAAAGGTTGCTTTTCTCAAGCTTACAAAATGTTTACCTGCTACTACTAAGAAGTTACCAAAACAGTAGATGAGTCTTCTGAATACCTTCTAGCCAAAAGAAACTCTCAGGTGTTCTTTATTCTCAAACATTGGTGGTTTCTAAGGGAGAGGGTTGGAACTGATGCAAAAAGCAGCTGTTTTGGCTGACTGACTATATTGAACCTTGTGAAACCGGCAGGAGAAATGTTCTTTCTGGAGCCTAGTTAGTTGAGACTAGTCATGTTAATCAAGTGGATACTGACTTAGAACCCTACAAAGTAAGGTTATGAATTTAGCTGTGTTCTTTCAGAAAGATAAAAAAAAACAAATGCCCTTTATTTGGTCTGGGTTGCGTTTTCTTTTAACATAGATATACTCACAGAATCAACTGTACAGTCATATAAGTTCTTACTTAGATATTAAAATCATTAAAAATATTAAGCTTGAATGACTTTTTAATTAAGCTTATTTTCACAGATTACCTGTTTAGAAGAAAAAGTAAAAGGTCAGTAAACTTCTGGATTAGATTAAATAATAGTTATCTCTTGTTCAGCTGCTTTCTTCTACACTTAGAGATTCGGAACTATGGTGCATCAGACAAAAACTGGTTCTTCAGGGATTTACAATAGTACATTTTTTTTTCAGAAGTACCCAGATTCCAGGAGTGCCAAGACTGATTTCCCTGGGGGTCTCTGGGACATCCTATAGCACCATTTTCAGAACTAGAACTACTTTACATGCATTTGAGAGGATTTAAAATAAAAAGACCCCAAACAGGCAGGTGGCACTTTGACCTTCTGTTGAGTTATTGGTTTGTGATCTTTAAGCAAGTTCGAAACAAGGACGTGCTTCCTTGACACATTTTTTTCTTTTCCTTTGAGAAAGGTTCATCCGTGGCCTTGTTCCTTCGCACTTCATTCTTCTGGATTTACCACATTACATCATCTACACTTTCAGACAAGCACCTAGCAAGATGGCCATCAATATCCAGTTGTGACAGTCTGCAAATACAGAGAATTTGTTCAGTGAGAAACAAAGTCAAATCCTCTTATTTAGCCTATTCTTCACTCTCATTTCCTAAGCAATCACGGAATTGTTCTAGTAGTTTAATGGGTAAGTCATTCCTGTGCTCAGAAGCACTGCAATCTGCCACAAACTCTTGCAGTTGCTATTACCTGCTGCTAGATAGTTTGATAATGTCACTTACTAGAAGACAATGCTCACACTCCATATGCTCAGGACAAGTAATGAGGCTATTAATGAGGCATCACATTAGGCTATTGATACAGGATAGAAAACCATTACCTTATTCCACATCCAACTCCAACTTTGAGGATACAGGAAACGAGATTTCCGATAGAGGACGGATGCTTTCTCATGTCTGCTTTCAATTCCTTCTTTGGAGGGCTATTTTTGTGATTGTGACATGACCCTCCCCGCTGCCCATATTACAGTATTTTTTTGAAAAGTGGCTTTGATAAAAATTGAAACTAATCCTAATCAGCAGTTACCAGTAGCACAGAACTGAGTATGGAGACCTGAAGTATCTTTAGCCTTTCTGTCTAAATCTCTTGATACAATGACCACAATTTTGTAAATATTAAGTCATCCTTTTGTCTCCTTGTTCAGCCTCCAAACAAAAGAGAACAAAGTTGCAGCCAATAAATCTTGCAGTTAGAGGACCTGTTCAAAACCACGTTTTCAGCAGCTATGACAGCCTAAATACTATTAAGTGGTGTAATTTCAAGAAACAACATAATTCTTACTGTAGAGTAGATAATTCAATTGCTGGGAGGGAGGATTTTTTTTTTTTTTAAATAAAGGTAGCCTGACAGCAATGGAGGACTGAAGTCTCATTTAGTTGTACTAGTCGGGGCTTGCATAAGAAAAATCAGCTTCCTTCCATCTTGCCCAGACCTTGAAAGCTAAATCTAAACTTCAGAGCATAATTGCTCAGCCAAAGGCATCCAGGTACATACTGAACAGGTACCAACATAGCTGTTAACAGTAAAGTCTAGATCTTGAAGAGAAAGTGACAGGTATGAGATTAATCCATCTAGCTCTAAAGTTAGCTTAACTATCAAGAATGCTGCACTGGAATGGTTTTTGGATTATGATACAAATTTCACAAAAAAGTCTTTTCATGCTCAAGTATTTAAAAAAGTTAACTCTGCCTACACTAGCAAGGTTTACCAGAGAGCTCAAACTTAGCTTTCTTTTTGAAGCAGTATAATCTAGTAATCATGAACTTCTAAACAATTAGAAGTAGGAAATTCTGACGTTTAAAAAGTACTTTACAGTAGAAGTTTTGTTTATTTTCATAATTTTGTATATAGAGAACACATCCAGAACCATTTTGAGTTTCGTATACTGTGAAGTTTCCAAAAAAAAAAAAACAAGCTCAAACTTAGCTTTCTTTTTGAAGCAGTATAATCTAGTAATCATGAACTTCTAAACAATTAGAAGTAGGAAATTCTGACGTTTAAAAAGTACTTTACAGTAGAAGTTTTGTTTTTTTTTTTTTTTTTTTATTTTGTGTATAGATCCAGAACCATTTTGAGTTTCGTATACTGTGAAGTTTCAAAAAAAAAAAAAAACAACTTACGTTCCACTAAAATGAATCAGACACATTGGGCAACTGTCAAGAGTTGACAATCCTTCACTCTGATTTTCAGTCTTCTCCTTGCAGCTTTCAGTTCCAGGTACGCTCACAAGAGGCGGCTTCTTTTCTGCAGGCGCATATCTGGCCTCACCAAATGAAATATTCCCTTGATGTGTTTGTATTTGAAGCTCTTTCCTATCATTTTCTTTTCTGTTTTCCCTGCTGTTCTGTACAGCCCCTCTGTAGTGCTGTTGAAAGCTAAAAGCTTTTCCAGAGCTTTGCGACAATGTTAAGTGGTGTGTAGAACTTCTGTGTTGAGTGAGTTTACGTGATTTAGGACTTGCATCCAGTTCTGAAATACCTTTTGTGTCATTGCCAACCATATTTTTGGCTTGATCTGTAATAGTTACACAGCATGTTTTCTCAGCTGTAGAAGGTAAACTTTTCAGTTTATCTGCTTGGCCCCGTCCTTTATGCAAATGGTCGATCTGGCTCTGTGTTAGCTGATGGGAGCTAAGATCCTTTGGGTTTAGACATTTTTCTTTGCAAAAAGATGGGAATGATACCCACTGAAAGTCTTTCATTCCAATTGTGAAGACTTGTTTTCGTAGACTGTCTTCCTCAGAACTCTATGACACACACATACACAATGTCTTCAAACAAATGCAGTTCAATTAATACATAAAACCAAGGCTGAACATATTACAAATACTGAGAAGGCTAAACTACATTGAAGAAAAGAACATATTATTTACATCCATCTCCAGCACTTGTAAAGCAATCAAGAACTTCCTGGAGTTTATGCAGTATGTGTCTTCCCTTAACGTGTAAATTGATACAATAGGGTACTCTTTTAATATGTCCCATAGAGACTAAAGATGAAAAAAACAACATACTGCTGTTCAGGGAAAAAAAATCTACTTTAGAAGGACTGTGGTTTTTGTGTCATCATATTGCTTAACACTTATCGGAGCAATGTAATGGTTGTTACTGTCTAATTAACCTCTTGTTACTGTTTGCCTTTTCCAGTTTCATTTGGGTAGGGAGATGCTAGTGCTTACGAGCAGTCAGTACGCTTACACAGGTTACCTCTTTTCAGCAAAATGTTCTAAAGAATTTGCCATACTGCAAAAAAAGCCCCTAGTAGTTATCCTTATACTACCTGCAACACAATGCTAAGTCACACCACTATATGTAGAGACTAAAGAGCTGAAAACCAACATCTATTTAAAAGCTATTTCAGATTGTTTCCCCTGTTAACATCATCATTCAGACTGTCACTATTGTAAGCAGTACACAAAGTGCAGACAACAAGGATACAGCACGCTACCTTTCCAAAGAATTCTGGAAAACTGGGCACTGTTTGCCAATTTGTGCATTGTAAATCTTGACTGATGTCTTTCAGTAACAAAATCCATGGTTTTTCACACTCACTTAAGTCTTCTTTTTCAAACCAGGAACATCTGTCAGGCAACGTCCTGTAAAGAGAGAGACAGTCCAATAGTTTGAGGGTGGGAGAGAGGGAAGAAAATACTCTGCATTGCTATTAGTTTGCCTCTTAATTAACTTGATTTACTCCTCCTGTAATGCTAATGTTTCAAAAAATGTAGCTATCTTTAACTGTGATTTATCAAAGCAGAAGTTTTAAAATTGAAACCTTCCAGTAGCTGACAGTGCATCAACTTCTTTCAGCCCAATTCAATGGCTAAGTGTGGTGACCCCTTTCCTTTTGTTAATGGCTAAGCACAAGGTAGGGATTTTATGATTGAAAATGCATATAACTTTTCCATTTGTACAACATAAAACTCCATTCTTACCTATTTTCTCGATTAAGTAGCACTATATGTGCTAAACCAAGAATAATATTTGATAATTTTGCCATGTCAAACCACAAAGAGGCATGTAAAAAGCATTTGTCAGTAGGTACAAGTATGCAAATGCAGATTTTTGAGTTTAAAAGAGAGGCAAGATGGCCTGTGGAGGAAAAAAAGATTTAGCTGTTTATAATACTGTTTGTTTACCAAGGGAACCTCCATCTAGCCTACAGCAAGATTTTTCTAGATCACAGAGACACTATTTACCCTATAAACTAATTTTTAGTCTACCGTGACTTACATAACTAATACAGCTATCAAAAAAATTATCCAATTTTTTAAAAGAACGTCTAAAAGCCTTGCTTTCTACTTGTAACAAATGCGATGTAGGTATTTATTACTGTCTTCACTTCCAGGTGAACAGTTAAGTGTAGCCACTGTTTTTTCTTCTCAAATACCGAACTTGACACCTACTGAACACAGAAATCACTGAAGTGTTTGCACTGAGGATGCCAGTTGCATTGGTTCCCATGTATGCTTGGCCATTCCCATACTGCCATTTGAAATTACCTATTATCCTTCTGAACAACTTGATCTAATCCATCCTAGGAAGGCATTAGGAAGGTTTAACTATAAAGTAAGCATTAAAAGGTTCTTATACTAGTAATGCTGTATAAAGACAATTTCAAGAGAAGGACAGATTGATAATGTCAGAATACTATTTCCAGCGTTCCTACTCCTTACTGATGCATTTTCTTGGGTCACTGTCCAGGAATGATGCTGCACTGAGAAGAAACTAGAGACAAGTCTTACGAGCCCTCAAAAAGCGGAGTGATCGGCCTTTCGAAGCCTGTTTTTGGAAGGGGCACAGCTGACGGCGTGCTTGCTCATCCTAACAGGCTGAAACAAGAACTGAACTGCTCACTGCCTCTTCACCCTGCCTTTCTTCAATCCTCCCTTACTCGAGGGCTGGAAAAAACAGGAATTGTTTCTGGTCTCCTGTGAGCCTTATCCTGAAGAAAGAAAACTTGATTTTCATACGTTAACATTTCTCATGGGCCCCATCCTTCCCGGTGCTATTCTGTGCCAAAGAACATGCAGCCTGGTGCACTTCATTTTGCAGTTGGCTTCTCAATTTTTTAAAGGTACTACAGGTGGTGTTTTATGAAGTAGCCTTTAACACAACCAGCAACGTGCTAGAGGCACGACTACAAACACCTCAGGTCGCAGGTGTGTTTGAAGACCCAGCTGCATCTTTACGGCACGGGGGCCGACGGAGGGCAGGGCCGTCCCTTTTCTGAGTCGCCTGATCCAGGCGGGAGCGTCTGCACCCCGGCCCGGCTTGGGCGAGGCCCTCCGGCCTCCAGCGGCCGCCCGG